GGTCTAAGAAAATGGAATAAAATCCAGTGAGGACAAAGGACGAAATGCACTATTTAGGAGTAATACATAAACACTAGGCAGTGAATTGGTTGGGCAGCAGCTCTGCCAAGAGCTTCTGGAGTTTGTGGGGGATTAGGAAGTGAACACGCCTCAGTAATGCCTCGTTGTCGAGGAAAAAAAAGTGTCTGCAATGGGAAATGCAAACATTTTTCATGTTTGCTAAAAAAAGTAGCTTCCCCTGCAACACTGAACACCCTTTTGTATTGTATTCCTCACCATAAGCAAGCAGAACAAAGCTGAAAAGAGAAAAAAAAAAGTTAATACATCAGAAAACAAAAACCATAAGGGACATAAGGGAAAAGTGAAAAAAAATGGAGGAGGTATAGGGAGAAGATAATAAACATCAAATATAGTAAAAAGCTGCTGCATAGGAGAAGCTCATAAACTAACTTTCTTGGCAGCTGGGAACAGGATAGGAACTAGTGGGCTTAAATTGTTGCAAGAGCTATTTTTCTTAGAGAATATGAATTCTTCTACTGGTAAGAAGAATGAAGCATTGGAATAGATTGTTTAGGAAGACTGTGAAATCTCGACTCTGGGAAGTTTTAAAGAGCTTATTCAAAAATATATGTCAGAACTAGTTCAGGTAGAGGTGTAATTTGGGGCAAGAATAGGCTATAAAAGCACTCATGGTCCCATCTATTTCAGTTTATCTACTGACTGCATTTAACTGCTGCCTCTATTACTTCATGATGCAACACAGGAGCCCATAGGAACATGTCTTTGAAAGAATAAAAAATTAAATCATATGTTCTCCTTTGTGATTGCTTGTGAGAAACACAAGGTGAAAGCTAAGGCAGCAAAGATCTTATTTCCTATGCTTCCTGCATCAGGCCTCTTTTGAGTCATCTCTGAGAGTACAGGATAAACATGCTGTCATCTCATCAGGCATTAGAAAGTATCATGAAGAAGGCAAGGCACTCAAGCAACACATAGGTTACCAAGATTCCAACACTGATCTGAGAATAAAACTGCTGCCCGAGTGTCAAACAGGACAGGCTGTTATCATGCCATAATACCTTTGCTTCTAGGAGAGGAAGCTTTGGCAACCAAAGCAAACTTCAACCAGGATAATGTGCTACGGACAGAAATACCTTTCATTTCGAAGCTATCGAGACTGCAGGAAGCAATTAGATATTGGATTCCCAGAGGACGGATGAAGAGCACATCTTTCAGAAAATTGTGTTTAAATGGGATTAACCAAAAATCCTGGAAGATTTTAAACCTCATGTAATGAGATGTGTCCATGCTTCAAATCCAGGCAAGCATATAAATATACCTACTGGCCAACTATCCAACTCTTTATTTATATGTATGCATGAAACAGTGCAACACAGGAGAAGAGCTGAGGGATCAGGAAAAGGGGACACAGCCTCATGAAATCAGTTGCATTAAGAAGACAGAACTTGTCTGCTGTGTTTTAATGACAGTAACTATGGGGCTTTTGATATATAGGCTGATAGGTAGGCTGGCAGACACACAAGCATTTAACAGGTCAGGAAATGGAAGACGGGTTTTGCAATATGCCATATGCCATACAGCACTACTGTGACTAATAGGCCACAATAAAGTACAACAGCATTCAGATGATTCAGTATTAAATGCGGGTGTGAGCTACAGATGTCTCAAGCTGGATACCCACAAAGGCACCAGAGGTCACAAAGACAGTCGAGTAGGCACTATCCAACTCTTTATTTATATGTATGCATGAAACAGTGCAACACAGGAAAAGAGCAGAGATCAGGATTCAGCAGAGATCAAACTGATAAAAACTCATGGTTTCTCTTCCCATAAGAAATATTATTCTACAGTCCAGCAGCAAAAAAGCGGGCAAGTCAAAGAAAACCAAACCAGGCATGTAATTACAGCTAAGGAGCAAAAGACTAGAGCCCTTCGGGCACAAATGTACAGTCCTCACCAGCAGCCACAAAACAAAGGTCAAAGTACCATCTCCAATAAATTATAGGTCATAGGAAGTACCTCTGCAGAGATGAACAACAGTAAAATACTTACAAACACCCAGAGGAAAAGTGGCAGGACTCAAGAACAATAGTAGCATTCAGCTAGCCTGTTGTAGAAACCTTAAAATATATGAGCAATACAAATAATTGTGGAGTGAAAATAAGACGTTTAGGCCAAGTGAAATGACATAAACATGGAAAGGAAACATAGGTTGCCCACTGGCTAGTAGGCTGTAACCGTCTAGCAGGAAAAGCCGTCTTGGTCCTATACAGAGGCACATAGCACTGAACAGTGGCCATAGCAAGCCACTGAACTTTAGCATAAAGGCCAGAAGAGCAAAAATTGCTGTACAGAAATATCTATAAATTGCACAAAACAGAGAAAAACAAAATGCAGCCCTGGAGAAGGTGCTGGGGTAACCACGTTGCATGCCAAAATACTAGAGATGACTGGCACCTCTGTAAATGGGTTTTTCAATGAAACCAGCAGACAAACAAACAAATCCCAGCTTGTTCCTGAAATACAAAAACAAAAGAAATCTAGACTCTGGCCAAATATATAGCATATGGAAAACTAACATCACAACTTGGCAATGGTTAAAACTAGGAAGAGAGGCCCTAGGTGAAAATTTAGAAAAAAATTACATTTATATACATTTAATACTAATATTGTTTCTAATATTCTGCTTGCACACAGAGTTGGACCTTTCATACCAAGTACTTATTCATGTTAATAGTTTTCCCTGGAAAATTCAAAGTGGTGAGTCAGAATCTCCTATCCCAAGCATGTCCAAGCAGTCTCCTCATATCTCCTTTCTGACTGGATTAACTCTTACTATTGAGCTGCCGGATATTAAAAACTGCTTTTAAATATGTGTTAGAGTTTGCCTTGCTGGTCAACATGCTGCCTGAAAATCCAGTGTCTAGGAGCACAGCAAACAGCAAGAGCTAGGTACAAATGTAATTTAAGTTAGTTTTATAATTTTAGTATTTTTTTGCAGAGACTATTTTAAATTTTAGGTTGACAAAATGATTGGGAAATTATATACGGTTAATAATAACTTGAACTCTTCAAACAGAGAAAGAAATTCTAACTCACTTCACTAGCAATAAAATAAAACAAGATCTAGCTGCTCAGGATAAATAACACATAAGGAAGTGTTTTACCTATTTAGCTTTTACTCTTCTTTTGCTCAGAGAACAGTCGCTGCATTTTTCCTCATCTGCCTTTCCATTCAGCTCTGCTCTCCACTAAGGCATGCTGTCTCTAACAACAGAAATCACAAATTGCTTAGATTCTACCTATAACTAAAGGACCTATTAAATCTTTTCCAAACTTACCACTGTTTTATGAAAAATTTGTTTGAAAATGCTTTATTTTGCAGTGTATTATTTGGATGAAGAAAAATAAAAAAAGAGCTCAATGTTAGATGACCATTGTTTCACTAACTAGCTAAAAAGGGGTATTCCACAGAGCTCTTTAGCAGCTTCTGTTAACAGTTGTTTCTCTTCACCTCATACTTTCTTTTCTCCTTCTTTTCCTGTCTACCTAAGTCCTATGAAGTACTAAGTCCTTCATATTAAGTATGACAGCAGCAATTGCAAACTAAGCATTTCCTTGCTGTTCTAAGTAAACACGCAATAAAACATTTTCTAAAAGGCAAAACGATAAATTGAAGATTATTTATTGAGCTTCTACTCTGATCAGAAGACAATGTTGGGTTAAAGCAGTGGAAATGTTTTGTTGTTGAAATGCTGGACAAATCTCACGCCACATTTTGAGAAGAGCCTTTTTTCTCCCTAATGTACAGAAATGATAACTGAAAAAAAATAAGCATGGATGAGGAATTCACAGAATTTAATCAGAATGCAGAGAACACTTGAGAAAAAAAAATAGCTCTATTGACTGTATCAGGACACATGCTTGAGGTTAGGAAGATGATTAAATGCTTTTCTAAATATAGTTTCAGCAGATGCCTTCAGAATCTATTCATAATTAATAAAGCTTGATTGTTTATGATGTTTTTTGTTCTGTTCTCTTAGTGGAAATGCAGAGTGCTTGCCTTATTATATATGATTAAAATCACAATACTTACCACATTGTATACTATTGTAATCACAACATAAATGCCTAACTAATCTAGATTCCTTTGTTTCCACAAAGAATATTAATTTTAAATCTCTCTGTCCTTCAGTTTGTGACATTTGCAATGTTGTGTTAAACACTAAAAACCTTTCAGTATTTAGAGAACGACTATCAGTCTTCAGAGAGAGCAAGCCAAAGAATATACAAGGAATACACAATTCAGGCATACAACAAAGTTAATATATACAAAGACTTAGTAATAAATACGCAATTATGCTCTTTGTGAACACTAATCAGTACAAGGTAATAATGTTAGGAAGCCTGAATAAAATTCTGTATCAATTAGGAAATAAACATACGTTGGTTGGATTAAAGCAAAATATATAACTCTCCATTCCTATTTGATATGGTTGAAAAGTAGAATTTTTATAAAATGTATACAGCTAACTGAACTTCACAGATAACTGAACGTGATTATTCCATAATAATAAATCTAAAGACTAGGGTAAACCACGTCTATTTGGAGGTAATTTGTTATAAGAAGAAAATGAGTAGCAGTTTGGGAATTTGTATAATTTTATTCTTGTACTTAAAATCCTTTAATATTCTCATGACACAGCATTGGTAAAGTTGGCAGTAATAAAAAAGAACATTTAGCAATATTCTGAATTCACCAGAATTCTATTAAAAACTATAACCACAGATATTTTTCATTTAAATCACGAAGTTAAGTAACTGACACACAAAGGAGTTTTCCTTTGTACAATATAATTCATTCCTTATTAGAAAATTCAGATGTACAATTACAGACTGCTGTCATATAACAATCCTTTTTAAACTGTAGGCATCAAAATAATTTAAGCTTTCAATGACTTTGACCTGCCACTCAAAATAAAGAAATACATGCTGCATTTTGATACTCTTGAATTGTTCTTTAAGCAAAATTCTTCAAATTTTACGTTTTTTCCACTCTGGCTTATCTGTTTCATCATCTTCTTGTTCCACTTCCGCAAAAACTGTTTTCGGTTGTGTTCTAGAAAATAGTAAAAAGATTAAAATAATGGTCAGACCATAGTTCTTTATCACAAGCTATATAAGACAGAGAGTAGACACAAATGATATCTTTTCTGTACTTACAGTGTATCTTATATTTGTCTATTTTATTTTCAACAATAAACTATCAAGCAACATTCTAAGAATTCAAGAAACTTTCACTTCTCAGAAAAAAACATAGGAAGAGAGGCATAACAAATAAGCATGCATCTCTTGTAAGTATTCTCTCCTCATCAGTTTGAGACCCTTCATTCCATGAATAAAATTAAGATAGAACAGAACAAATAGATTTAATATAATGCTAGAAAATGGAGCTGTAGTTCTTCTCTTTTTATGACCAAAAGAAAAATGTGTATATATATATATGTGCGTGTATATATATACGTATATCTTTTACATTTTCACGTTCCCTAGAAGACAGCAGCCAGTAAATGAAAACAGAGCAGTATGGTTTCTGGCTTAGCCTATGCATGAAGAAAACAGCTTCTCCAGAGACTTATCCAGCACTACTGTAACATAATAAAACTAATGATCTTCATATGAGAACAGAGTGTATCCTACAGTCAAGCTTGATGGTATCTATTTCCCCACTGTTTACTTGTATTTTAAATAGCACTTAAACTTTATAAAAATAATTATCGATTACTTTCTAAACGAACATGGTAGAAGCAGCATTTCAACAAACTGTTTAGACATTCAGTTCTCCTGTTTTATGCTTTAATCACTGCCTGGTCCTTTTTTTCCAATCTAATTCTCAGAATAATCATTACATAGATGAAACTAGATTTCTGAAGCTGGCTCTATTAGACTCCTCATGGCAACAAAGACATGTCAGAGTATAAAAAGCAGCCAAGACAGTCATCGCCTCGTTAGGATATTAACTAATGTTTTTACAGCAGTCAGAGGATGTGAAGCACTAGCTATTAGTATAACAGCAGTTATTTGGCAGACTCTAGAAAATGCATAAACCTTCACAGAATTGGTCTGCCTTACTTAACACAGTAGGCATAATTCAGTGTTGTCACTGACTTCAGAGAATAAAAGCAAGGACTCGACCGCTAAAGTAAAAGGAGCAGGATTCTCCAGTTGTAAAATATGCGGTACAAAATACATTTAAAGTCAACAAAACTAGTCAAAGACAACTTTCCATGTATAGAGGAACTTTCTGTTGGCTTGCCTTCTCCTTCCTCCTCCAAAATTGACTTGGAGGTGAGGAGTACACCAAGATGTTCCACAGCTGGTTAGAAAGGAGCTCCTCCTATGGGACTCTACTGGCACATGGTCCTTGAACCCCCAAGTGCAGGATCCTGGCTGTGTGTCTCAGTACCTGTCAGTACATCTAAGTATACTGTGGACACAGCTGATGACCTAAGATAATGGGACTACAGACAAAGCAGAATTAAGAGAAAAGATAATATTCTCCAAATTAAAGAAAAAAAGTAATCTGAAGTTAGTTACATAAACTCTACTTATTCAGTCACTGAAGGAAGATAAAAATAACCAGTACTTGAGCCAACACAGCCACCAGGGATGAAGGATCTATTGGCTGAAATACTGGATTTTGTTGGCTGCTGAAGGAGTGGAATGTATGGAATCTTCTCTTTTCAAAACCTGTTGAGGGAAGTTTATTTATGCAGTTTTAACAGCCTACCTTCATTGTATCACACCACATACACACAAAAAAGCTATCTAAATGCCATGTGGAATCACACCAGGCCAGTACTGAGATGTCTGTTACTACAGCACAACTGACTGAGTGTAAAACTATCCTTTGTGACCACAAAACCAGCAAGAGTCATAATTTCAGTCAGAAACTTCCATCCAAAAAGAATGACTTTACTTCTGATATGAGTAATGGAACCTGCATATTTACCAGAACAGGAATGTCACAGCAATGTATGGAAAGTTATGGACTGCAGCTAATAAAAGTTATGCAGAGTTCAGTAGAGTGAAAAATATATATACTGTAGCAAAATCTAGCAGTCACCAGCTCAAGAGAAAGAATATAGAAGAAATCAAGTCTGCTTGCTATCTCATTTTTAAAATTAGCATGAAATGGCTATGGCCTCAGCTCAGCTTAGAAATAAACTGTTCCACTTCCACAAGGTAGATAGCAGTAATCAGAACACCTACGGTTAGTCCTATGCCTGACCGCTCAAAAAACATGCACACAAATCACGTTTTTCACTTTTACATTATCAGTAGTGATGCTTTAATTTAAATAAAAATTATTCAGCTTAGTAACTGCAAAGAAAATTGCTAGTGCAATAGAAGTTCACTGTATGATTAATATTTATAGAAATATTATCAAAACAGTTTTACTGCTTCAAAATATTTTCATTTATGAGGGCTAAACACCTTATATGGAAGCTACATTTTTATTGCAGTTTTTTCTCCCTATCAAGTTTTTTATGTACTCTATTAATCCTTGACTTCAGGAGAGTAGATTTCCACCTGGGAATCTCTTTGTCAGGACAAATGGGAATCTGCCATACATGGCAAAGGGGGCTAGAGCAGCTAGCTGATCTTCAAGGACAACCTACTCAAAACACATTCCATCTTGATGTGCAGAAGATCATGCTAGCACAGCACAAGACCAGCACAGATGAACAGGGAAATCCTGACTGAAATCCCAAACTCTAACTCCCCCCACAATAAGTACACAGAGGAAGTGGGGACAGGCTACTTGAGATAAATAGATGTACTGCCTGAACACATGGGAATGGAGATAGGAAAGACAAAGCTCAGCTGGAGTTGAAACTAGAAAGGGATGCAAAGAGCAACAGTAAAGCTGTCTACAACTACACAGACAGCAAAAGGAATGCTAAGGAAAACGTGTTCAGTGGGGCAGGGAACCTATTAACACAGGATATGGAAAACGCCAAGGGACTCGGTATTTTCTTTGGCTCAGTTTTCCTTGAGAAGGTTTGTCGTCAGGCCTCCCAGGATCCCAAGCCTCCTAGTAGGTCTGCAGCAGGGAATGAAGCATTACCAACAGTAGAGGTAGATGGTGCACAGAGAGCACACAGCCAGCTGGACATGGATATCCATGGGATCAGATGGGATGCATCTAAAGGTACTGAGGGGCTTGGTCAATGTCATTTCAAGGGCAGTCTATCATCTTTGAGAGGTCATGGTGATCCAGTCTTGATGAACGGAAATGGAAAACATCACACTCAGCTTCAGGAAGGGCAAGAAGGGGGGAACTAGAGGTCGGTCAATCTAACCTCAACCCCTGGAACAAGTCTTCACGGAAGCCATTTCTTGGCACATGAAAGACAAGGAGGTGGGAACAGCCAGCATCCCTCTCTTCAGCACTTGTGAGACAACATCTAAATATTATGGCCACTTCTGGGCTTCCTAGTAGAAGAAAGGTATTGGCATATTGGAGCAAGTTCACAGGGGAGCCATCAGTTGGTTAGAATACAGAAGACCTGCAATCAAGATGACTAGGGGGCTGGAGAATATGATGTATTGGGAGAGGCTAACTGTGTTTCTTTACCTTGAGGGTAAAAGTAAGTCCTTAAAGAGAGATCTTACTACTTCCTACAATTACCTAATAAGAAGGTACACAGAAGATGGAGTCAGACTCTTCTCAGTGGTGCACAGTTGTAAGACAACAGACAATTTGGAAGATGGGAAGTTCCATTTAGATAATATAAGTATTTTTTCTTTACTGTGAGGATGATCAAACACTGCAACAGGTTGTCCAGACAGCTTGCTGAATATCCTTAAGGATATTCAAACTTGACTGTACAAGTACCTGAACAAGCTGATCTAACTGGACCTAAGTAACTTCATCTGACTGGAAGTGCCTTGAGCAGGAGTTTGGATTTCCAGTAGTCCCTTCCCACCTTAATTACTCTATGATTCTATAATTCTGAATGATACTTGCTAAAATCAGTATCTCATGCATTGAAAAGTACATTCTTATTGTACATAGGAGTTACAATAAAGGGCTATAAAGCATGAAAATTGCTTTGTTCTCACTTCATAGAATCATAGAATGCTTAAGGTTGGAAGGAACCTCTAGAGATCATCTAGTCCAACCTCCCTGCACACGCACAATCACCTAGAGCATGTGGCACAGGACTGCGTCCAAGCGGGTTTGGAAGATCTCCAGAGAAGGAGACTCCACAACCTCTCTGGGCAGCCTGTTCCAGTGCTCTGTCACTCTCACTGTTAAGAAATTTTTCCTTAAGTTCCTGTGGAACTTTTGGTGGGTCAGTTTGTGGCCATTTCCTCTAGTTCTGTCAGTGGCCACCAGTGAAAAGAGGCCAGCACCATCCTCTACACTCCCTCCCTTGAGGTATTTATAAATAATACTTTGAGGTATTTATACACACTGATCAGGCCTCCTCTCAGCCTTCTGTTCTCCAGGCTGAACAGGCCCAGCTCCCTCATTGGCCACGAGGGCACACTGCTGCCTCATGGTCAACTTGTCCTCCACCAGGACAACCAGGTCCTTCTCTGCAGAGCTGCTCTCCAGAAGGTCAGTCCCCAGCCTGTACTGGTGTCTGGGGTTATTCCGCCCCAGGTGCAGGACCTTGCACTTGGCTTTGTTGAATTTCATGAGGTTTCTCACCACCCAGTTTTTCACTTGATTTGTTTCTCTCCAGTTCAGGGGTTTTCCAGCTACTCAGATATTCAGACCGCTAAAAAAAATGCAGTAGCCAGGTAGATTGCTCTAGATTCAGCTTAGTTTCTCTATTTCTGGCTTGTTTTTCTTAGTTATCTTTCGTGGATCCAGTAAAAGTAGCCTATTGACATCTGAGATTCATAGACTAGCAGTTAAAAAATACTTCTATAACTAAACCATCTGGAGAGGGCAATTTTGTATCACAGCATGTGACTCATGTCACAGTAACTTCTGAAATTTGTGTTTATTTTGCATAAACAAAGGAAAAAAAAGCTTTCAAGAACGCTTAAAAACCAGAATAGTGTCAAAAAGGCTATTGCCAGACTGGAAACTTCAGATTTTAAGCATCAGGTCCTTATCTATTCATTAGCCTATCAACCAACCCTGTCTCTTTTTTGAATCTAAGAGACATTCCTCTCAAAATTAACAGATTTCAAAATGAACGAACAAACAAAATTAGGCTTAAACATATCAGCATGTGTCAACAAAATCACAGTTCTAAATCATTCTGCTCAGGTCAGCTTCTTAAATTAAGGGTGCTTGAGCCACAATATAAGTAACACTTCGCACATGAGTTCTGGTACTGAGCAAAAGAGCAGTGAACATGCAGGCTGTTGTGCCAAGTCTCTTCCTTTTCCCAGCAACAAGCAGTGACTACAAAGATGGCAAAATGGGGGCAATGACAATGAAATGTTAGAGATGTTTAAAAACCCCTGTCTGTATCCTGATGAGGAGGAAAATTTCACCCTCACCTTCCCTACAGCACAAGCTAGAGTTATATCTGCGCCTGATTAGGCCCTCAGCTTCCTGCTGATCCTTCAGAGAGACATCTGAAGTCATTATAGTATCTCTGTACAGCTGTGTTAAAACAAACAGCTCACAAAGAATGTAATTTTCAAACATTTACAACTGATGCCTCAAGTTCCTTTCCTGTAGTTCTTTACTTGAAATCTTCAATCTGTCCTTCCTTTCCTTTTCTCTCACTCCACTGGAACTACCCTTGCCAAGGTCTCTAACAAGCCTTTTCCTGAAAAATCTCAAGGTCTTCTCTTTATGCTCATCCATTACAACTTTTCTGTTGCACTGATCACTGTTTTTTGGACACTTTGGTCACATTGTGTTCTGCAATATGTCATCTCTAGCTTCAGCATGCACTTGTCATTTCTCAGCATCCTTTTCAACAGCATCTGTTTTTTTCCACCCATCCATTTACTCCTTAGATGCTTTCCACTCCTTTTCTGGCTCAAAACATAGGAGAAACAGAAAGGTCATCCTAATGATAACAAGTTTAAAGAAAAAAGAGAGAGAGAGAGAGAGTGATAAATAACAAAATAACGAAAATGACTATCTGGTTCCAAAAATTAAAATCCAACAAAAATCCACCTTTAAATCCAACAAAAAGGAAATATTTTTATGTACAACCGATAAACAAACTGTACTAGTCATACTACAGGTTGTTAGTGTAAGAATTATACAGCAGGAAAATTATGAAAGCATGAAATCAGTTGCCTGATTTAGAATGAAATACCTGCAGCTTTTTCTTAGCTTTATGGAGAGCTAAGAAGAATTTTTTGGGGGGAAGAAAGTCTTTTGCATTATTATCTGTTGTAAACACCTTACTCTGAAGACTCTAATCTCACTCACTTCTGCATGCAGTGTAACAGTTTTACAACTGCATACTACTGTTTTATATTAATTTTTAGATTCAAAAGAAAAAGTGAAACTCCCTAGCAAGCCTTGTTCCTAATGCTTATCCATAGAATTTCAAATATTTCTGCTCAAACTGATCCATTTAAGCAGCTGCATAAAATCATCTTTCTCCTCTTCAAGTATTTTAGTCAGAGGTATTCACATTTAAGGTGCTAGTTAACATTTCCCCATTCTTTCAGAAACAATCTCACTGTTCTACTAAGACATGTAAAATGCCAAAACTATCAGTCTACATAGTCTTTTGTACAGATTTGCCTCTGACTATTGGAGATAGAGGCTAAATTACATTCATTTTCTTTTACTGCTTTAGACAATCAGTCCAAATATTTTCACAGAAGTCTGTAGGTCAAATTCTTTTACATAATTATTACTCATACAATAGGACTCATTCACAAAAGAATAAAACTTTTGGCTTTGGGCAAAATGGTATGACTAAGGAAAAAAATTCAGTATTACTTGCAGCTATGCATGTGAAAGTAAACCACAAGTTATTGGACCCTGGATCACTGTTTATTATAAATTTCAAGGTGCAATCTCTAGACAGGCATAAGTTGATAAACTGACATATCTGCTAATTCAATTAAAACAGGAGACTGTATGAAGTGGATACTGTGGATATTTTTAATAGAATACTTAACTAAAGAGTCACCATGCAGGAAATGTGGAAGAACTGATAAAGAAGGTAACAAAAATAAACATTGCTTTAAAAAAGGAAACATACGGGCTGTATGTTTTTTGTATTTCAAGACAGTATATGCCTTTCCTAATTCTTTAGTGTATTTTATAGTATAGCTAAAAGGACACAATTTCCCTAGGTTTGTATACTGCTCAATATTTTGAACTCCTGATTTCAAGAGGGTCATGGGGGGACACTACTATATATCTACTATATATACTGCATACAATAATATGCATTTATAATTATATGGAGAATATAGATAGTTTATGTCTGTTATTTGTACTTTGCCTATTTTACGGAGTATGTATTTGGAAAAATGTTGCATGATGCTGTATATACAAGGTAAACATGCATGCTTAGCAAAGTCAGATATCAGGTATGTATTTTTCACTGCTTTCTATACTATCCGTGTGCAGGTAAGCAGCTAACAAGACCTGAACAGCTACGGAAGTGCCATTGATGCATACTTGTTAATGTAGACCATCTTTTCTGAAAATTAAGGACATAACACAATTATAAAGTCTCTACATTTCAGTGTTAGTCTGAATGAAATATAGTAATTAAAAAAAAAACACCTTTAAAATGCTTTTTGCATAGGGCACTTCTTAAAGTCAAGTTTCTAAAGCGAGGATAACAGCAGTTTCACTGGCACAAAATTTATCAACTGACAAAGCTGTCAGGGCAGCGTGCTGCTGGCTGCACTCCAGCTCCCCACATACATAGCACCGTCTGGTGTGTAAGCTAATAGTGGTCTGGACTTGCATCCTCCCCACTTCTCAGTCAGCTCTCTTCTTTCTCTGCAGCTACATCTTTTAACAAGAACCAGTAATGAGATCTGCCCACCTGACACAGTAAGCCTTCTGTAATACAGCTATGTTTTAAAACTTTCATGTCTATTACATCGCAGGTGTCAGGGATGAAACCTAATATACAATCAATGGAGTTGCTGAGCCAAAAATACACTAAAGTGTCTGTCTATCTGATGGAATGTGCGATCATATTTACTTTTGAGAATGGAGTGTGGCACATTTTAAATAAAAAAGATACAGGCACTTTCATGTGTAGCAAACATGAATCCCTAAATAATTAAAAATCTGTATTTGGCATCTTCATTATGGCAAGTGTTACAGAAGCAGGCTTTTAAATATTTCTTCTTTTGACTTGGTAACAAGGGTGATATTGTGCTACACATCCATTTGATGCATATTACAGCAATGCCATACTTAGAAAGTACTGAATCAGAGTCAGGCTAGGTCACTAATACTTTCAAGTTGTTTTGGAACAGCTATTCATGATCTTCATGAGGATGTGGGTCAAGTCAAAACACAAGTGTTCCTACTAGAAACAACTTTGATTATTAACATATTTTCAGGTTCTGGAAACCAGTGATTAGATGTCCATTTACACTGAATTTCTGGTGGAGAAGCTTTTCAGTGCCATTTTTTCAGTATTCGTGTACCTGTATGAATTTAAGCAAGTATCCAGGTGCCGAGGCAGGAAAAAAAATGAAATAAAAAATTTGGAATTTCACAAAATCTTCTAGAATATGCTGTCATAACACCAAGTACTTTGCAGGTTTCACCTCATGATCAGTCAGAACTAGAGGGTGTATATAACATCAGCCAAGCTGACAATCTCAGTCTGCCAATGGGACAGTATCTTATTGATGGGTATGTTACAATTTCAAAGACTGGTTTGGGCAACATTAATAGATTTAGAAAGTCTTAAAAGTAACTTTCTAGCAGTGACAGATATATTTTTAAAATGCAACTGCCAAATTTTAACAGTTTAATCTACCGGAAGCTCAATCTTCATATGAGAGAATGACATATTGTTGGTTTGCATATTCACAGCAACGATCCAGAAAAGGCAAAGAATAACGTTAAAAATGTGTCTTCTGTTTTTACCAAACACCCACTGGCCTCCAAAAATATTGCTAGTATTTTTGTTTTCTTACTTAGCATATGCTGGAGCCACCCAGTATGGATTCTCCTCCGCTTCCTTTGCATGACGTAAAATAGCCTCTCGAGGGTTGCTATCATCTGTCTTATCCAGTGCAATATTCTTGACTATGTATGATGACAAGGTACCTCCATGAGTTCCAACACGGCCACCACGACCTGCAGTCAAAAATAAAAGTTCAGAGAAATTTATTTAACAACCAAAAGACAAGCAAAATATTGTATTATGTCTGTAACCTTGATCTAATACAAGGAAGCTATATAATGTAACAGAAAAAAGCCTAATTTAGAGCTACATTCATACAAATGTTTTACTGATTATATAACTAGAAGTGAGTCATTGCAATTATTAATTTATTTTTGGCAATCACTCTAAATTAAGACCAATGTCTTACAGTGCCAAGCTCACGTTATTGTTCCCACCCAAAAATGTGGGAACACAAATCCAAACAAGCGTGGAACCCAGGGCATGCATCAGGCAGGCAGGCAATGTTCATGCCTAGATTACCTGGTCCTGCTACTGGAGGTTCAGGTTTGTGAGATTTCAAGGGATCCAGTCTGTCCTTTTCCAGCTGTTTCCTGGTGCTTCGCTGTCGAGGTTCACGGAACATTGGAAGTGCATGGGCTGAAGAGAAAAGTCACAGTTTAGAGAAAAAAGTGTTAGAGATTCCGTTAGCTTTTTTAAGTTTTAATTGCAAAGGCTAAGACTGTATGTGATCTGTACAATAGGAAAGGTAGCAGAAACAGCCTCCAATTCTTCTGTAGCCAAGCACTAGTATATCTCTTTCCTGATGATTTCTTAAAAGATAAAAGCAGCCAGATTTCCAGTGTTCCCTTTAGGCAGCAGTCTTTCATCTATAATACTGTGTGGATAGTTCACTCATATTTAATTTATTCTGCTGCCACTTGGTTCTCAGCATCACGACTGTGACCACCTGATTGCTCTTTTCCAAACTTTCCACCTTTCTACGGTTTTCTAAGACTCTGTTCTAACAAGAAAGGCAAATCTACAGAAGTAGCCTGAGTCAGAGGGAAGATAAATCCTTTCTATGATTTGAGGCATAATGTTACTCCAAGTAAGGTCATACTCATATATTTTTATTTTAATTATGAGATTAATTTAGGATGGATGACTATCTAACTGGAACAGATTTTATCTAAGTTCTCAGGACCCAATACTCCCATTTATTTATAAAATTGCTACATTATCTTCAATCACTGCAATTTTTCTGTGTGTTATTTCAATATCACTTCTCAGACAAAGGGGAACTGCACAGAAGCACCATGTTCAGAAATAGAGACAGTTCAGGATGAAATTTAGCCCTGTGTGCCAATTGCTGCTATTTCCCCAAATGTGGAAAAGTCTGTAGTGGCGGGCGGAGCAGGACAACAAATGCAAAATCCAAATCACCATAATCTCAAGCACAGGGGAACCGGCTCCCTACTGAATAAAAGCGGACAAGGTGTTGAGGGATCTACTGGCTTAATTTCCTCAGTTTATTTCTGGAAGCCTACCAAATTTATTATACCAAGGGAAGTCATAGCCACATGACAGAGATTGACCTTTGGGAATAAGTGTTCAGATTTTACTTTTGCAGATTGCAAGAAGTATGAAAAACCTGGGACCTCGATTGCTTTGCATAGAGCATCTGAGGTGACTCATGCACAGATCCATGCTCTTCCATATGCAGAGTCAAAGATGTACAAGGGAAATACAAACTGGGTATTCCTGTGTTTTAAAAGTAACATCTAATCCCTTAAGTAATATTCCTGTATTTTAAGCAGCAACTATAGGCAATTCTGAGAGATGTAGCCCCAAAAAGTCAAAGGATAAGAAAACAAACAAACAAACAAAACCAAAACAAACAAACAAAAAAAGGTTGGGTCAGTTGGGAAAGAACTTCGGAGATCTTTAGTTCTTTCTGTAAGCTTAAAAGAAATGCATCCTTTGAAAAGTGCAACAATCTGAAAAAATCGTAAAGCAAATCCTCACAACTGCTTCACTACCAGCTCTCGAAAATTTTTACTGCATTATTTTATAACAAAGTATCCTTATTTAATTTCAAAATGATGCAGAAAGAATAATTAAATGGGTAAAATTCAATGACAATTTTCCAAAACTACACAAAAATTGGGTCTAAATCTAAATTTGCCCATCTTTGAACGGCATTTATAAATGCCATTAGATTCACTTGGATACACAAGTTCCATCGGATTTTAAGTGGAAAGTATTTTAAAAGTCACAAAACCCAAGCTGCAGTGTAAACATTAACAGCGGCGCACACCAAGTATTTAGATAATAGGCTGTGTGATGATAGAGTCAGGGCTGTAGTAAGGATGGGGTGAGAAGGGCACCCAGGGGAGATAAATATTGCTGATCTTTGCCAGCTGCTACTTCACCCAGTGGTGCTACCCAGGAATGGGAAGTGCACATCTGCAGCAGCAGGGCAAGCAGGAGACAGCTGGGGCTGGAAAAGACTCAAGATGGGACCCCAGAACCAAATGCCTTGATATGCGCGTGGTTACTAAGATTGCCCAAGCTTTCTCAGTGTAAACTTTTTTGTTTATTATGTTGCCAAACAATTTGCATGTTCAATAAATATTAATTGTTATTTCTAACAGCCCCCAAACTCCCAGAAAACAGGGTTGGATCCAACACTGTAGAAGTGGGAGAAGAAAAGGAAAAAAAGCAGGACAGCACAACCTCATGACTACTCTCAGTTCACATGAGGTAGCGACACATAGGGTAGGGCTTAGTGGGAGGGCTGGATCTCAGCTGAGCCCATCACTCTCTTCTTAAATTTGCCCTTAGGAAATGCCAGGTCACTAAACACTTTACAGTAACAACAATAACAATTTCTTATGTATTAGCTAACAGGGATATGAGCTTTTATACAAGAATATTCTGATGGTAGAGAAATATTTTAACTATTTAAAAACTCATATATCTCTGGGCATTTTCTAAATTTTGGAAAAATCATTTGTAATTTGTTCCAGACCTACTCTTACTGTTTTTGATTTTGTCACTCACATTGTTCCCAAGTCACAGAAAGCATCCTAGATCCATATGTACTCTCCCATCTTAGCGAGGACTTGGAGGAAGGGGATGGGGAGAGAAGGAGAGAGAGGAAAAGCTATCTAGCTATCTTAGACTTTTTAGCTTATCTAGATTTTTTAAATCTCTTTTTCTTCAACAAAATGCATAAAAACAGACATCCTAATTGAATACAAACAGCTGTCCCTTCAGGTTTCTACTGCATGAAACTCGCACCAGAATCTAGGAAACAACCATCATTAACACTTTTACAGGACATACTGAATAAATATATGAAGTACTAATATCTTCACAGCACTACTATCTCACAGCAATGCTCAGGGCTTACTGAATTACTGCAGTTTTTTAGAGGGCAGAATATAAGGCTGAATGTTCTGCAAAGCAATGAAACCCGAGAAAGTGCTAAGGATGTTCTTCAAAGATATGTTTGAGTTTCTTACGTGTTATAATGTAATCTTGTGTAAGAGTCTCTGCTTGTCTTTCTTTTCGTTTTGTTTTGACCACACAGAGTTTTGCTCCCCTAGGAGAAAACATACAGCAGTTTAATTGTTCTTTTTATAGCAGAAATAGAAACCATTTTTTATTCAAGACAAATTTCTCAGCTAAGCTATATAGCACACTAATCTTCAATGAATGTATCTTTGCATGCCCACACACATGTGAAGGAAGGCATAAAGATTAGCTTATCTGTCATACTGGAGCTTTTAATATGGAAATAAGAGTGGAAGTTTAATTTCACATGTTGTTAGTCCACAGTACACCTAGTGTGTGCACAGAAAACGCCCCTCTCCAAAAGGAGGCAATGAGCATACTCTTACCACTCCTCCTTGGCAGCAAGCATGGTAGTTATCTGATCACAAGTGTCTGTAACACAGTGGGGATGCCAGCTGGTGCTAAGACTGATTTAAACTGGTGGTGGCGTTCCTTCTTACTACAAGTAAAAGGAAACAACCTGGGCACCAAACTCAGCTGGGGCTCTCTCAATCTGTGTTAGGGACTCAGGTCTGCACTCACTTTGCCCTCCACGTCTGATGCTTAACCACACTATGGCAGCTCTGCACTGTTAGCATTTTTTGAGTATGGAAGGAAGAATTTACCTTTACAGAGTGTCTCTTCTGAGACACTGTACTGATAAGAAAAACAAGTGCTAATTTATCTCTGGAAAGAGGTCCAAGCAATGATTGGATCAACTCCTCTCATTCCCTAAACTGACAATGAGAAACTTATCTTATTTCTGACTATTTTATGAACCAAAGTTCATCCACATATTCAAGTGTCCAGGTCACAGTAGGCATCCAGAAACTCTGACCTGTAGCATAATAAATCGGTGGATGCTAGTGAAACAAAGGAAAGAATAACTTATTCATGTCACTCAATATATTAACTGTTTCATCTGCTGCTCAAGGAAGCATGTTTCAGGTCTCCAGCTAATCCATGGGCAAAAGGAAGTTAACTGCAAAAGAAGTATTTATATTGTCATTAAGTCTTTTGTTTTCATTCTAGGCTGATAATCGCCTCCTGATGAGCAAACACCTTTCCATTAGACACACAGCCAAAAAACACAGGTGATACAGGTGGCAGGTGCTTTCTTGTATTACCCTCTCAAATTTGCTTTTTAAGAGCAAATTCACAGTCACTGTAGTTTAAACTAATGTTTCTAAACATACTTTTTACTTCAGAAAAAAAATGACATGTAAGATCATAAAATATGACTACATTAAATAGTTATATTTTCTTTTTACAGTAACCAAATAGGCAAAGCTCTGCAGAACAATCAATCCTAAATCATTTTATCCTATCTCTCATAATCAGAAAAATCATGGAATCAGCTTAAGGTTGAAGAAAATAAAAGTTCTTAATCATAAAATTACCTTTGGCTTTTGATAGGATCATAGTACACTTTTGCCAATCCATTTCCTGTGCCAACCATGATCTGGTTCAGCTTGGGATGCCAAAGGCAACGCACAACACTCTGAAACAAAGCAAAATATTAATAGTTGTTTATTCATCTAGATCTTGCAATTAAAATTGTCAGCCATATTTTGTCACACTGTACAAGGAACAAGCTTGAACATGTGAATACACAAATGAATAAAAGTTCCTTTCCCAAATAGGACATAGCCTGAAAGGAGGGACAACACAAGGACACAGGCAGATAAGGAAGTAAAAATAGGTGCCAGTGCTCTAGGATCTTCATGGGTATCATGCAAATAAAAAGCTAAAGGCAGACTCAAAAGAGAACAATGAGGTGCTTCAGATTTAGCAATATAGGCCTTCATGACTTTTGCATTTTCCTTCCTAAATCCTAAATTATTCCACCCCGTTCCTTATTTTTAACTATTTTTCCTCTGCTCTCAGACTAAAACTTTCACACAGGGCTGACCTTTAACTCACTGACTACAGAAATGAAAAACAGTTGATCTTCACTCTTGGATCTTTCTTCCCTAAAATGCCCTTAAGAAGTTAGTATTTGAAGTTTATGTCTCACAGCTCCATCACCCTTCTGGTCAGCACAGAAACCAATTTTCAGACATTAAGAGCATTGTTCTGTTGCACACAACACGGTTTTCTGTATGATTGATGGCTGTACTCAATCTGAATCACCACAGTGAGACAGAAGCTCTGTAAGACTATCAAGGCATCTGACTCAAGAGAAGCAAAGGAGTGGTCACAATTTGCCATGCAGGACACAACATCTTACTATGAAAAACATATGTGCATCTGAACAATGGGGGAAAAATAACATATTCTTGAGAGGTATTAACTTTTTAAAGGGATACTCTCCAAGACTGACGTCTTGACAGTGCTTTTGTTAGCTTTGTAATAAATGAACCCAGAGCTAGCAGAACGCATCTTCATTTTATTATTTCACTGATTAATGCTGAATCATTTTTCCATCCCTTTTTGCCTAAGCTTACTACTTCACTCTAAAAACAGGTATAGACACTTCTCAAAACAAATTAGTAATTCAATAAAGAACCACTTCCCTTCATCTATCAAGAAATTATCTACCTATTTTGTTACATAACATAGTACATAATGTCACAAAAAGGAAACCATTAATGTCTTAACAAGGAAAATACAACAAAGCTAAACTATAATTAGGGGGTTAAGTGAAATGTAACTTGGGAGAGGAGAAACATGTGATTTAGAAGTGAATGGCTCTTTATCAAGTCTGTTGACTGCTGGATCACTTTTCCCATTCCTTTTTCTTCCTATTTTTTCCAATGTTATGAGGCACAGAGAATTAAAACTACAATTCTGAAATCCATTCAGACATCATGAATTAGACATTGATTCATCTACAAGAATAACTTTTGTGCAAGCTGTTTATCTGCTTGGCCTTCTTGCTAAAAAAGTGGAAATATTGAGATGACCTTACAAGAATAAGCTGATCGATCTTTACAAGGTATATCCATAAAGTGTTATACCTGCTACATACATATGCACATAAGAGCATGCTACTCACAGGTATTTGATATAGAGACAATTAACAGACAACGATCCTTTTTGAGATAAATAGGAAGTATAAAGAAAAATTGCTGCAATTCATTATTTCCATAATCCCTGATACATGTTACCAAAATAATCTACACATGATTATTAATAAGTTGTTTGCATTAAATAAAGATTCCTACAAACTGTTTTGTAATCTTATTATTCAAATGCTATGATAATTCTAGAACACACAAAGCTAATAGCAAATATTGAAGGTCAAAGGTGGGTGGCCTTTTTTTTTAATTTTTATTGTATGCGTTTAGCCAGCCTTTTTAAACTTTATAGTTAATGTGGTTCTCCACTTTCTACTGTCAAGTAAATGTATTTTATAGGATGGTACTGGATATCAGCCAACAAAAACAAAGCCTGAGACAGTGTGGCTCAGCACTGATAGGGATTGCTAAGTTTCTAACTTGTCAAACATGCACAGCACACTTAAAACCACCATGGCATATGCTCCAGAGTAGGCTGAAGAAACTGCCATAAAATGCTGAACTATAAATCTTCTAAAACTGTAAAATACCTTCAGAATATAATTTGTTAAAAACTAAACAACCACAAGATCTCAACATGCAAGTAATTAATTTTATTTAGCTGCTGGCATATAAACCTATTTTACAAGAAATAGTAAAGACTACTATGGTTGATTTTCAGATTGTTTTTAGAATTAAACAGTATCTTAAAAGAAAAGAAACATACTGAATATCTGAAGTAAATCCTAGAAATCTTTCTCAATAAAATAATCCCAAAGAAGCAAACACTTTAAACAACTAAATGGCAGAGGGATCACTGTAGTATAGGTCTTAACATTGGGAATGGGAGGAGAAATCTTTGTCATGCAAAAAGAGTTAATTCCTAAATACAGCATCTCTGCACAAATAACTTTAATAGTGTTTACACTTAAAGTAAATCAGGTAGGTATATTTATTATCAGAAATGCAAAATAACAAAATTCTGGTCACAGAAGGTCCTGCTCCCCAGATCTCCATGGCAGAAAGGTGTTCCTGGCAGTTTTCCCAGCCTGACCTACCCACACACATAGATAGATACCTACTGATACAAGATTTAACAGAATTGTAAAATGAGTGAGGTTGGAAGGGATCTCTGGAGATACCTAGCCCTACCCCAAGCTGAAAACAGGGTCAACAACAGGAGTTTGCTCAGGAGATTGTCCAGACCTGTTTAAATAGTCACCTCCAAGGAAGGCTGCTCCACAACCTTTCGAGGCAACCTGCTCCAATGTCTGGCCATCCGCACCACAACAAAAATAGATTTTCCTAAAGTAATAAAGAGAATTTCCTGTGTTTCAGTTTGTGTGTATTGCCTCTTGACTTGTCACTGAGCACCAGAGAGAAGAGTCTGGCTTTATCTTCGTTACATCCCGCTGACCTGCTCACAGTGTTCTTTTGTCTGGTACAAATACCACTGCCTGACATTTTCTGCTTCTCTCAGATGGAAACAGGATTTGTCTTGAATTCTAATTCCAAAATACACTGTGATTTTGTTAGTAATTGGTTTCATTTTAAGAATGGGACTTGAAGTGGAAGCCAGAATGAACCAGATGGTACTTAAGTTTTAACTGCCCCCTGAGACACGAGTTCAGGCTGGACGTAAGAACCACAGGAGCTAAAAGCAAGCTAAAATCTCTCACTGCACTTACCAAGGTGATTTCATGCTTTATCAGAGAAGCAAAACAGGAGAAGGGAATTAGCTTGACAGGGCTTTAAGGAAATTTAGCACAAAAGACTGGATTAACCATTAGTACTGGCTGTATGGAGATTCAATAGATGCCAGCTTCAAGGCTCAGAAATTTGAACACTAGAACAATAATGAAAAACCTCAATTAACTAATTTTAGATTCGAGCATTCAACACAGAAAGACTTAAACAGTTTCTCATAACAGTTAAAGCTGAAACAAAGGGATGTAGATTCTGAAATCGATAAAATTCCAGGTGCTCTCTCAGAAGGAAAAAAATGTATTTTTGTATATACAAATGATAACACACAGAATGTGTCATCATGCAAGCATCCTTAACACTTAAAGAAATCCAATAATGGCTCGATGTACGGGACAGCACATCTTCAGTACATGTATTCCTAGAAGCCTGTCATAAAAAGTAGTTTCACCTTGGCCACAAGAGACTTTTTGCCCAGCTTTGTGACAATGAGATTAATCTATTTTAAAATAACAAAACTGACCAATACAACATTCACAAAGGACAACTACTCACAATGTTTTAAAAGCTGTTTGGCACTTTTGTTCTTATTTTGTATTACTTAATGTCATCACTTTCTTCAAAAGCTGTCAATCTGAAAAGACTTTGCTAGGGTCTGTTGCTTATACAAATGCAACAGTATTGGGAAATACTGTGAAAAGACTAGGAACGTATCTTTGCGAAGTTAGGCATGGATAATGTTAAGAATGTTAACAAAAAGAGAAAAAGTCCAAGTTCATCACCTTTAGTGCCACTACAAAGGACTGTAGCATGCATTGCATGTATTGACAACAGGCCTTTGTCATGATTTTCAGGTTGCAGACATCCTGGAATACTGACTTACGGTGGAATAAAACAACAACAACAATGAACATACACACTTTTAAAGATATCTTTGCTGTAATCTAGAACAAAATGCTTATCTTCCAAAACAATCTCCTAATTAAATAGAAATTACTAGTTGTTTCTGAAACTAGTCATAGCTTTTTCTAAAGGTACACTTGAAATGCTATGCTAGCATTTTATAGAAAATATGAGTTACCAGATATATATATTCCTACTTGGGTTTTATATGAAACACTATACTCACTTCAGATTCCTGAATCTTTCAGAATAAATGCCAGTTTTACACACTTTTATCTGCAGTAACTTAGAAGCTTAAAAATGTTAACTTTAACCAGAAAGATAAAAAATACATAGAAAGGTGACAGGCAATCATATCTTTTCTCTCTGAGGTGCCCATCTACCCACATTATTTTCATTTCTGAGACATGTGCGTGCAGTCCCTGTTCATATGCAATACTGGGATTCCTATTATATAGGAATATAATAACATAAGCAGAGCTTTTAGTAAAAGTAAGCATTACACTACACCAAGTAATTCTTTCTTTTCTTTTTTTTTTTTTCCCCTCCTCCAAACTTAATTCTCCTAGTTTTCACATGATCACAGAATGGTTAAAGTTGGAAGGGACCTTTAGAGATCACCTAGTCTAAATCCCCTGCTCAAGCAGGGAAACCTAGAGCATGTGGCACAGGGTTGTATCCAGGCAGGTTTGGAAGATCTTCAAAGGAGACAATTCTAACACCCCAAAGGAAAGGCAGCTTATTAGAACAGAAATACCTGCTTTTAACTGGAAAAAGAAAAGGGGCATATATCCTTCCACTAACTGTAATTCTCTTCCCAGTCTCAAAAAATAGCATCTCATCACCGCTTCTCTTTTGCTAGACAATCACACAAATAGCTGTACTGATACTATGC